TCTTCCCCTACTCATTAGACATTTAAAAAATTAGATGTAGATTTTATTTGCAAATTAAAATAAAAATAAATATAAAAATAAACCAAATACTTTCTCTAGTCACTATTATGAGCTTTGTTTTCTTTATTGAAGCCATTTTCTGAGTTTATTTTCTTTGTCTACATGTCTGTGTGTTTATTGTATTTTACACTACAGTGTAAACTATGTGAGAATGAGGATTTGTCCCAGTGACCCCATGACTGCCTTGCTGAACCAGTGCATCCCAGCACATACAAGGCCTTTGTAAACTGTAGAGTTTCAATACATATTTGTTAAATGAATGAATTTCAGCCATCTAAGAGACAAGCAAGCAGTGCCCCTTTGACTGATAATGCTTGCATGCAAAAACTTGAAATATATTTTAACTAGATCTTTTGCTCAATTTAAGTTTTGTTTGTATATGAAGCTAGTATCACCAGTACCTGTGCAGATGATTCAGATGAGAAACTGTCAACGTTTGTACAGTGGCTATAAAAGCAGAAAATAGATTAGCATCCATATTTATTTCAGCATGCCAATGCTAAGTTCATAACAAAGTGAGCACTGAAGACAAAATCAATGTTGATGTAAATCTTAAGGCTAACACTCAGGTCTGCTTTCTAGGCAACGGGGAAACTGTGGAATGGCTGCTGCTGCTGCTGCTGCTGCTGAGCTAGGGTTTGAGAATGTGCTAGGATGGCTTGCAGCACAACAAGATGGGAATTAAAAGGAAAGGACAAGTGAGCTAGAGACACAGGCTTAGGAGAAAATGAGATTTTGTTTTTGACTTGGAACTTATACTTCTCTTGGACAGAGTGCCTTCTGTGCACCTGGCCACTGTCTTTAATTCTGATAGAAATTCCAATGGTAGGTGTATTTCCCCACTTCACAATGAGTAAGATGAAAATTAGGATTTTTAAAACTTGCTAAAGCCATATAGCTGTGCAAAAAAGTGAGGCAATGGTGCAAACTAGAGTTTTTCATGTCCCAAGGCAAGCCTTTTCCCATGCTGCCTTCTACAATGGCACAACAAATTCCATCAACTTCTTTGACTCTGGGCACCAATTACAGAGCTGGCATTGAACCTTTATAGAAACAAACCAAACAAATGCTTCAGCTGCTATTGGAAGGGCAACTAAGGAAAATGTCCATGCCAAACAGTCTAATGTTTGCTGACTAAGCAGGTTTCAACACTCACGCTCACATCTCTTCTTCCTCACTTCCTTTCTCATGATCCATTTAGAGCTCAGCTCAGATGTTCCATTGTCCACTGTGGAAATCATCTTCCAGATGTTAGTAAGAACTTTACCGTGGCCATGATGTGAAAGAAAGCGGCAGCTCGGCAAAAGCCCTGCTGAGAGCCTGGGCAGACTAGGCAGCATGATCTAAAGCGCTGGAGCGTTCAGCCAACAGAGAGAATGAAGGGCCAAATGCAAAACCAAAGAGAAAGATAAGCAGAAGAGGAAAATCTTACTGACAGAGGTGAAATAGTTACAATACTCACTCCTCACCAGAAGAGACTGCTCCATCCCCTAAGATTCCATGAGTAGAGACTTGGATGGAAGAGAAATGTGTGAGGGGTGGGTTGGAAGGCAGAGGTATCAATGAGTAATCCCTGCTTTCTCCTTCTGAGCTTTATGAAGATCAATAAAGCATTTTCAAATGAAGGAAGAACTAAAAATGGAGGGATGGGGCTGGCTAAGGCACTAGAATGATGAAGAACAAGGCATTTTGCCCTCACAGTGAGTGAGGAAAAGAATTTCTTCCAATTGGGAGACAGAGCCAACTAGCTTAGATATTTGAATTCAGAGTTTAGGCTTTTGCAGTTACCAATTGTATGTACATCAGCAAATTACTTATTCCCTTTAAGCAACAAAATAAGTCCAATACTCTACTTCTTTAGGTCATTTTTTTCACTATAAAATATAAATATCATAAAGGTCCTTATGATGTTAAGATAACTCATATGAAAATGAATATCTAGCATTTAGTGGGCACCCAATAATAACAATACTTATTATTGAGGCTTGACTTTCTGGAGAAGGAACTATGGTTGGGTCATTACAAAGGTCACATCATGAGAACAGTTCTTGCCTTTAAATGGTGTCCCCTTGGTTTAATTACTTGTGTTAATAGCCCACGTCATCTACACTGTCTTGGCTTTGGTCTTACAGGAAAGATAAAGTCCAAACATGATAAGTATCACCTCTAAGCCCAAACAAGCTTGCCAAAGAACAGGTCAAGCCATTTGTTACTCTGAGTCATTCTAAAGATAAAGCCATCTCCCCACAGAGAAGGGTGCTGAGCACAGGAGATAATGCTGATGACACTGTACATTTATTTAGTCGTCCACAGTTTACAAAACATTCTTGCCTTAGAAAGATTGCTGCCTTCATTTTATGAATAAAGGAACAAACACAGAGATGAAGCAACTCAAAGTGACATTAGTAATTGGTCTGTGCAGCAGGAACTCCCCCAGCTCCTCCAAGTCTAAGGCTGGGTTGGTTTGGTTTGTCTGCTTGCTGTTGTTTGCTTTGTTTGGTTGTTTTTGTCCATGCTGAGGGTTAAAAGCAAGGACTCCCGAATGCTAAGCAAGTGGACCTCTACTAAGCTACATCCCTAGCCACCCTCAGACTCTGTCATGTATCATCATACTATGGATGATGTGAACAGGTTGAAAATTCTTACAAGCACATCAACAGTGACTTTAAAACAGAAAGAGGCTTTTAGATGATCTGATCTGTTGACTCTTAGGCTGTGTCCAGGGAGCCCAGCAGGAGGGGTGAGAACCAATGGCAGCTGGGATGGTATGCAGCTTAACTCTCATCAGTTAAGTTCATAACTCTAAAGATGTTCTTTTGAACAAATGTTTACAACATTAAGATTTAGTGGGGGGTAGCTTAGTGGTAGTGTGCTTACACAACATGTGGTCCTGTGTCCAGTGCCCAGCACTGGAAAAAAGGTTAGAACAACTGTCTCACTTCTCCAAAAAGTGTCTAGAGGTCCAGGGAGGTTAGGTAACCTACCTACATCTCATAACTACCCAAAGGCAGAGTGAAGTCCAGCATTCAGTCTTTAATCATCTGTGTACTTGATGAGCATGTCACAAATGTCTTCATCTTCTAAGTATTTTCCTTTGATAACCTCAAGCAAGCCATGGGAGATGAATTGGCTCTTAATGTTAGTCTCTCCTGGTGACTCAGAAGGTGATCCCCAGTCAGTGTATCTCCAGATTCTCAGCTTTCCTAGGGGAAAGTGGTCTAGACAAGTCTCAGTGGGGCTGCTGTGGCCGGGGTAGGAGAAAGGAAGTGGTGAATGTGCTGGGGGTCTGCCAGGAGAGGAGACATGCATACTCCGTCCAGTGTCTTATTGTTTACAAATGCCTACCAGAGTGTCACTGCTTCAGAGCTGATATCAGTAACTTATCGTCCTCATTAATCTGCCATTCCTCATCCAGAGGCCAGGGAGGTTTGGAGTCGCGTTGGGTACTACATGTTTATAGGACAGTTTCAGAACTTCTTATCGCCTGGCTTTCTGCAGAGACTGAGGCATCTCATTGCCTGCTCGGGGGCAGTTAACTTAGGCTAACTGCTTTTTGTTTGAGACAAAGGCACCTATCACTCAGAGAGTTCTAGAGCCAGGTAGGATCATAGGCCTTGTGGGCAGGTTGCTGCATTTGGAAATTTCTCACCCACCTGTCAGTTTCTCCTCATTCAATAGGAAATGAGAAGAGTCTGTCACAGAATTCCAGGCTGCTGAAAGTTGCCTAATTTGCTTGTAATCTTGGTCAAGCTGTTCTCCAACCTGCAGAGGACTGGCAATGATCAGAAGAGAGAACCCAAGGTGCCATGCTTTTCAAATTGTGAAGTAGAGTTGACTGTTTTAGAGAAGGTCTCAAACATTACAATTATTTCCAATGTGCCTTTCAACCAAATTCTTTCAATATTTTAGAACTACCATGTGAAAAGATAAAATACTTGGTTTGGTTTGAAGAGAGTATATTAATTTATGTTTCTCTCTGTAAAAAAAAAGTAAAATGCAGTAATAAACAAGACAAAGATAGAAATGGAGGTCTGGTTACCTCCTTCCTTAGCCTTGTCAAAGAACAGTAAAAAATTATATTTCCAACTAAAAGCATTTCTTTTAAAAATGAAACCAAAAGGCCTTTGCCAAAATTACCCTCTAAGTACCACAGATTTATTTCTGTTTATTTATTTATTCTGAAATAAGGTCTCATTCTGGAGTCCAGGCTGGCCTGCAACACACAATGTAGCCTAGGCTGGCCTGTGTCTCACAGCACTCCTCCTGCCTCAGCTACCAAATGTTAGGATTGCAGATGTGAACCAGACTTATGCCAAACTTGTAACTGCCTCACTGGCAGAGATTTCTCTGTGTGTCCATGATGATCCTTCCAAAAGTCTGGACCTAGTTTTCATTATGCAGACAACCCAGTCACAGAAGCCAAGCAGTATTTTAAGACTGTAGTATTTACTAATAGATGTCTGGCTAGAAACAGTGTTGGCAGAAGCCTGGCGGAGGCATTGACTCTCTCTAATGATGTGGAACTGGGCTGCATAATTATGTCCACTTGGATTAAGTCTACTCAAGACTGTCATGTTTTACAATGGAACCAGAAACAAGCACCCGCCCCGTGCCACAGTGCTGGGATTTTCCTACAATGACATCAGAACATCAGAACTTGTTTCAAACATTCCCGATATCTTCACCCAGCCATTCATTTCATTTTGGGACTTTCTTTACAAAACTTGCTTCACGTAGTACAATATATATCATTTTGTTTTATAGACTACTTTGGCCCAAAGATAGTATATACCATAAATATGATCCCAGGTAAGGAAAAAACACTGTGTATTCTTGAACATTATTAACATATTCCTAATAAAGAAGGACACACAATCTATTACCTATCTCTGGCTCCAGAAAAATGATTAACTGTTATGCGTTATCCATTTCCTTTCTAGCTGTTTCTGAGACTACGAGCATCCGTATTTATTTATCACTAAGGAAGAAAGACAAAGGCTGGGAAGATGGCTCAGTAAAGTACTTGCCACACAAGCATGAGGACCTGAACTTGATCCCCGCCACTGACCACACAAAAAGCTAAAAAGCGACATCCAGCTTCAAGTGCCTGTAATTCTAACACTGAGGAGATGGAGACAGAGGTTCCCTGGAGCTTACTAGCTACGTGGTATGGCTGAATAAGTGAGCTTCACGATCAGTGTCTCATCAGATCATAATTATGTTCTTATTAAAGACTGGACTCTGGAGCATCTAAATTTGAATACTTGCACTTGCGCAGCTGCAGTCCTTCTACAGTTCCTGTAATGGTATGTCTCCCTTTCCAAATAAATAATCACTGCTCTCTGGTGGGTGGGGGTAACGATCAATTAGGGAAGACACAGGACATCAACTTCTGCCCTCCCCATACATGTGCACCTGCCCACACACACACACACACACACACACACACACACACACACACACACACAGAGAGAGAGAGAGAGAGACAGAGAGAGACAGAGACAGAGACAGAGGAACAGAAACACACACATGCAGACACATCAAAGGGGAGGGGATAATAACACTCATTTGGCTGCCTGAACATTGTTACTGTATGTGCTAGCTAGTTTTGTGTCAACTTGACATAAGCCATAGTCATTCTGAAGAAGGAACCTCAACTGAGAAAATACCCTTACCAGATTGTCTTGTGGGCAAGCCTCTGGTGCATTTTTTGGCTGATGATTGATTGGGGGGAGGGTCCAGCTCACTGTGGGTGATGCTATCCCTGGGCTTGTAATCCTGGATGCTGTAAGAATGCAGGCTAAGCAGGCCATGAGAGCAAGCTAGTAAGCAGCACTCCTCCATGGCCTCTGCTCTGGTTCCTGCTTCCAGTTCCATGCCTTTAATTCCTACCCTGGTTTCCTTAGATGAGGGACTATGACCTGAGATCTACAGGCTGGAATAAACCCTTTCTTCCCCAAGTTGCTTTTGGTCATGGTGTTTTATCACAGTGGAAACCTTAACTAAGGCACTGTATCAGACTTCTGGGAAAATGTATTTTTGTATATTAAAAGAGTTCGATTCCAAACTTAGATAGGGGGAAAAGCATTTGCTTTTATTTGAATTCAAGTCATGCATATAACCTTAAGAAATGAAAATTAATAAGACATTAGGCAAGGAAAGTGAATAACAGCAAGTCTTTAAAATGGAAATCCTTAGAATAAAGGAACAGCTCTTATTATTATATTAATATTATTCAGGATTGAAGACGTCAGGATAGTGTTATCAGATTTCTTACCCTTCTGTCTAGTTTCTAGACCTCTGCAGAGCTTTCATTCCATTTGTGAAATAGAATGTTACATTAAAGACTTTAAAAGTGAACCATGAAGTGAAGATGCTAAAGAATTAATTTTTGTAGATTGCTATTAATCTTTATCCTGTATTAATTTAATGACAACACTTATCAAATATTTTAAAGATTATGGCTATTTTGGAACTATTCATGATCTGAACCCAAATATTATGACGATTTCAAGTGAATTGGAATTTGTATCTGAAGCAAGAAAAACTCTCTCTCCCTCCCTCCCTCCCCCTCCCCCTCTGAGAGAGGGAACATGCAGCCTAGGCTAGCCTCAAACTCCTCTTCCTATTGCTACCTTGTGGGAGTACTGGGATTTTAGGCATTTGACATCATACCTTCCTTTCTCTCTGTTTTATTTTATTTTATTTTGTTTTGGATTTTTTGAGACAGTCTCCTGCAGCCCAGGCTGACTTCATAGTTGGTTTGTGGCCAAGGCTGGCCTTTAACTCCTTATTTTTCTCCCTTCACTTCCCAAGAACCAACTCCTTTATTTGGTTTATCTTTCCTTTCTCCATTGTTAATGCCTTCTGGCACTCCCTAGCCATCACTATGGCAATGTTGCAGTGGCAAGGGTTCCGGAAACAATGTGCCAACATGCTTATGTGATAACATTCAATCAGATTATATACTTGCAAGCAAGATGCCATGCTGTCGCTACACATACTCTCTCAAGACACTCGGGCCATGACTCTTGACATAGAGTTAACTGAAGACTGGTCCTGCTGAGCATCATGGTTCACTGCTGTAATCTAGGTTCAGAAGAACAGTGAATTTGAAGCCAGCTTGGGCAGTGGTAAAACCGTGCTTCAAAAAAGAAAAACCATTCCTTTAATCGTTAACACTCTCTAAGTTAATACATATCCTTTACTTTTCACCATGGTCAATGTTTATGTAAACCTTTTAATTTTTAACATCACCAAAGTTAATAAATATCCACTAATGCTTCTCAGCTGATGAAACACAGGAATGATCACTATGAACTAGTTGTATCAGTAGATTTTCCAGTCAGTGGCCAGTACATTTGAGGGGATATGATACAGTGATAACTTTACTTAGTTACAAAGCTTCGTTTGCCGTACAAACTTGTATCATCTTGGACACTGTATTGAGGACTTTCTGTAGACTACTGCTCAGGACCGCAGGTTTCATTCCCAGCTTCTTCTGATACCTTGTGAATTGTTATTGCCATCTCTCCCCTGGGTTTCATTCCCTGAGTGTGTCTCACCGGCTACGTCCAGTCCTCCAGGTATGGTTAACACAGGCTATCACATCTAATGTATTTTTTTAAGTGTACTGTTTCCTCTGGCAATCATAACAAAGCACCAGAGGCTGTGGCTTACCAACCAAAGCTGTATTGTCTCAGTTCCAGACACCAGCAGGTTGTTCCTTCGGAGGGCAGAGAGAGGAGGATTCTTGGTGCTAGCCCTACCTCCTCAGTGTGTAGATGGCTTTATTCTCGTCCCTCTTAATGTTTGCTTCCCTCTATGTTCAACTTTTCCTTCCTACAAGGAACCAGCAGTATTAGGTTAAGGATCAGCCTAACAACTCAGTTTCGGCTGGATTACTTCCTCTGATGATCCTCTTCTCCAAATACGGTCATTGTGATGGTTAATCTTTTCAGTGTGATGGGATTTAGAGTCCTCGTGCAAACAAACCTCTGGGCCTATCTGTCATGAGTGTCTAGACTGTGTTCATTGAGGTAGGAAGACCCCCTAGTGTGAGTGGCACTATCCCATAAGCTGGAGTTCTGGACCGAATATAAAGGAGAAAAGTTCAAATCTTTGTCACCCATCATTCTCTGCTTCCTAACTGTGGACACAGGTAACCAACTCCCTTGAGCCTGTGCTGCCAGGATTTCCTTGCCATGGAACTGCAAACCAAAATAAGTCCTTCATCTTTAAGTTAATCTTGTCAGACATGTCCTTGTCCTAGCAATAAGCAAAGTAATCACATTCTGAGCACTACGTTAAGTCTCCAGATGATACATAGAAGATACAACATGGAAAAGAAAAGCCTCAAATGACATGTTCAGTGCCGTTGTAATGGAATCTAGTGACCAGACCTAGTATAGGGCCTGACTGTCTCCTTGCTTCCAGTTTGCCCTGTTACCATGGTTTGAGGCCAGCTCATCTCTCTTTATGGACAGAAATTTAGCAGTGCACCTCTTTTTCTCTCTGTGGTGATAAATTATGCCAATTTGACAAGGTCAAGAAGTGCCCAGGTAACTGGTCAGCATTATCATGGATGTTTCTGCAAGGGTGTTTTTAGATAAGATTAATCAGTAGGCCAATCTTAGCAGCAAATGCTTACACACACACACACACACACACACACACACACACACACACACACACTGTCTCTGTCTCTCTGTATCTGTATCTCTCCCTGTCTCTGTCTCTCTCTGTCCCTGTCTCTCTATGTACCTCTCCCTGTCTCTCTCAGTCTTTGTCTCTCTGTCTATCTCTCTATCTTTGTCTGTGTGTCTCTGTCTCTGTGTATTTCTCCTTATCTCTCTCTGTCTCTTTGTCTCTCTGTCTCTGTATGTCTCTCCCCATCTGTGTGTGTCTCTGTCTCTGTGTCTCTGTCTTTCTCTGTGTATCTCTCCTTGTCTCTGTGTCTCTGTCTTTCTCTATGTATCTCTCCCTGTCTTTGAGTTTCTGTCCTTCTGTCTCTGTCTCTTTTTGTGTATCTCACCCTGTCTCTCTCTTTGTCTCTATCTCTGTGTGTCTCTTCCTATTCCTCTGTCTGTCTCTGTTTCTCTGTTTCTGTCTCTCTCTCTCTTTGTCTCTCCCTGTCTGTGTGTGTCTCTCTGTCTCTCTGTCTCTGCCTCTGTGTGTGTGTGTGTGTGTGTGTCTCTGTCTCTGTTTCTGTCCCTCTCTCTCTTTGTCTCTCCCTGTCTGTGTATGTGTCTCTGTCTCTCTGTCTCTTCCTCTCTTTCCCCCCCTTCCTTACCCTCTCCGTCTCACCTAATGAAGAAAAGTCACAACCTATCAGTCTCTCAAAATCAGAGCTTCATCATGCTAAACACAGTCTTCCACCTCTCTAATCTGAACCCTCCATCTGGTTTATTCCTCTAGGTTTCAGTGATCTTGAGGCCTAAGATGGGCCCCAAATGATGCCTGACAGAATAAAATAAGAGCCTGTCCAAAGTCACTTCTGGCTGCCAGTATTAGTGTACTCATGGACTGAGAAATACTGAGGTCCAAATTCAGAACATTCCAACTTCATGTACAATACTTCTTATGTGTTCTTTACATACGTTTCAGATCATTGAGAAACCCAATTTCTTTGTACTTTCAAATGTTATTTCTGAGGAGCCCAGATTCTCATTATCTTATTTACTTAGAGTTTTTCAAGTGACTAGAAAACTGGTTTTAAAAACTGGCTTTTGTAGCTTATTAGTGTATATATGTATGGTTTGGAAAGTGGCCTTGACTAATTAAGATGCAGCACAAAACCTCCCAATGTTTTAACACAGCAGAAACAAATTGAATCAGTCTTGAGTGTCTCCATGTTAGAAAGACCAACCCACTTCCTGACTTCTCCACGTGGAGTGCTGTCTAGTCTCCATATCACTTCTCCACGTGGAGTATTATCTAGTCTCCATGTCACTCTGTCATCTACCCACCCCTCTCCCAAGGCTGTGTGGTTCCCCTTTAAAAACTTCAGCATGGACGAAAATGTTTTCCCTTGACAAACCTGGCTGGTATTTTCATGAACAGCTTTTACTAAACATGAGGGAAAACAGAAAAGAAATAATTACAGAAAACACAGAGTATAAAAATAGCCATGTCCCAACTGCAGGTCTCTGCTTCTAAACATCACACTGGAAACAGGAAAGTTTTGCTGGGCACCGAGCTCTTTCAGCCTTTCTTAACCACGTCCCGTTTCCCCTGGGCCTGCTGGAGCACCTCCTCCCACTAGTACACTGACCAGCTCTGAGCCTCACCATCTTAAGCAACTAGC